ACACACAGATTCAATATGTATTTTAGTAAGATACACAGCATAAATGTACAGCTCACTAAATTATCACAAACTGAACACCCCCTCAAAGCCAGCACTCAGATCAAGAAATACAGCATGATTAAAAGCACCCTTGAAGCCTTCCTTTTTCTTCCAGGCACTGTCCCTCTGTCCAGAGGTGACTACTATTGTGATTTCTAACAGCATAGATCAGTTTTCCCTATAAATGGCAGTCATATAAAATGGCATCATACTCAGCTCTTCTTGTGTTGAGGTTTTCTCCAAGTTGTTAGAAGTAGTTATAGGTTATTTGTGGATGTATGATATTCCACTATGTAAATATACTGTAAATTAAAATATTGATGGTCATTTGGGTTGTTTCCAGTATTTGCCTATTACAAATGGTTCTTTTAAGAATGTTTTCTAGTTAATGTCTTTTGGTGGACGTAAGAATCTTCTCTTAATGTGATTGGCAGAACGGTAGCACTGGCGTTACCTAGAAACTTCTTGGAAATTAAGAATCTCATGCCCAACCAGTACTACTGCATCAGAATGTATGTTTTAATGCGATCACCAGGTAATTTGTATGCACATTACTGTTATACTCTGAAGTCTCTACTTGAATGACTTGACACTGAATTCTAAGTGTTTAGTGTTTCAGCTACTTGGGATAATGAAAAGGATTAGAAGTCAGGACAGCTGGCAGCCCTTAGTACCACTTTAGTTAAACTCTTTACCACCAAGTCTTTTCTCATCTTCCTTTAATTTTTCTCACTCTGGTTTAGGCAGATCTCTGTGGAGAAAGGTTGGAAGATTATTGAGTCCTTAGAGCTCATACTGAAGTCTCATACATAATTGAGTTCTTTTACTTAGTGGTTTTTTAGTATATGGATTTTTTTTTTTTAAGTTCTTGTTCAATATTCGGGCCTCTTCTCTGGATTTGGTCCAAGTATAACGATATTGGGAGATATTCTTTGTGGCTAGTTGTTGGTGATTGTGTACACTAACACACTAAATCCATTTTAAATGGACTTTATTTCTTTTGTTTTATTTTGGTGGGTTTCATAGTATTCAAGAAGAGCATCTATACCTCATCATTTATTAGTATTAGGGGCTTCTTTATTTTTATTGCTGTGACTTCTTTATTTTTATTGCTGTGCTTTTATTCTATCCTGTGACTTCATTGTAGAATCTTTATGTATAATATGTATTATGGGGATTGCCATGATATATATCAGTGACAGTATTTCATTACATTCATGAAAGTGAGAGCACTAATCCCTGAAACTACTGTGAGATTTAAAACTGCTAAGAATTGGAAAGGAAATGATTATATATTTTCCTCAGGATTACATGCTAATAACAATGTAAACTGGGTTAATTTTTAGAACCTGCTACTTTTGTACCATCATTTTAATTTTTATTTATTTTTTATTTACGTAGGTTTTTGGAGAACAGGTGGTATTTTGTTAGATGAGTAAGTTCTTTAGTGGTAATTTGTGAGATTGTGGTGCACCCATTACTGGAGCAGTAGACACGGTACCCAATTTGTAGTCTTTTATCCCTCACACCCCCCACGCCGTCCCTCAAGTCCCCAAAGTCCATTCATTGTATCATTCTTATGCCTTTGCTTCTTCATAGCTTAGCTCCTGCTTGTGAGTGAGAATATATGCTATTTCCATTCCTGAGTTACTTCACTAAGAATAATGGTCTGCAGTTCCATCCAGGTTGCTGCAAATACCATTATTTCTTTTTATGGCTGAATAGTATTCGTGTGTGTGTGTGTGTGTGTGTGTGTGTGTGTGTGTATACACTCATTGATTGATGGGCATTTGGGCTGTTTCCATATTTTTAAAACTGTGAATTGTGCTGCTGTAAACGTGTGTGCAAGTATTTTTTCATATAATGACTTCTTTTCCAACTAGTGAGAGGTAGGATTCCCAAGAATAATTGTTTCCCTGTGACTTCATTATAGAATTTTTATTAAAGAACTTTCTATTTAAAAAAATCTATTGTATTAAAAATGTCATATGTAAGCCATAAAGCTTAATGTTTTGAACCACCACCCATTTTAAGAACATTACTGGCAAGGCATGGTGGCTCAACGCCTGTATTCCCAGCACTATGGGAGGCCGAGGTGGGTGGATTACTTGAGGCCAGGAAAGAGTTTGAGACCAGCCTGGCCAATGTGGTGAAACCATGTCTCTACAGAAAAATACAAAAATTACCTGGATGTGGTGGTACACGCCTGTAGTCCCAGCTACTTGGGAGGCTGAGGAGGCAGAATAATTGCTTGAACCCAGGAGGCGGAGGTCGCAGTGAGGGGAAATCGCACCACTGCTCTCCAGCCTGGGTAACAGAGCAAGACACTGTCTCAGAAAACAAAACAAAGAATTCTCATGGACATTTGGGTTGTTTCCCATTTTGCTGTTATGAACAAATTCTCACCTTTCCTTAGTTTGCTAAATATATGTTAAGTCATGAATGGTGTTAAATTATGTCATACTTTTATCTGGAGAGATCAGTTTATTTTTTTATTAATGTAGGTTGCCTTTTTTAGATGTTCTAATGTTCAATACCCTTGCATACTGGGATAAACCCAATTAGTCATAATATATTTTATCCACTCAGTTTACTGTTGGGTTTGGTTTGCTAATATTTGTTTTTGAGATTTTGTATATACTTATGAGTAAGAGGTTTATAATTTTCTTTTGAACTTTCATATCAAGGTTATGTTGGTCTGTAGAATGAGTTGGTGAGTAGTTTCTCTGTTTCCTGGAAAAGTTGTATGACATTTGAATGATTTGTCCTTTGAGAGTTTGGTAGAACTCACCTGTAAAACCCAATCTCCCTGCATCTTTCTGATGCAGATATTTAAGTAGTTTCTGTAGGGCACTTGGGTTTTTTTTATTGATTCTTGAGTCATTTTTGGTGAGTTAATTTTCTAGGAACTTTTTTATTTATTTTCATTTGGTAACAAAGTTGTTGAGAAGTTCTCTAGATGTCTTTATCTTCCATCTTTGAGATTCTTTTTAAACACATTCCTAATACTGTTCATTTGTGTCTTTATATCTCTGTTTTCCCCTTAACCTCCTTATTAGTCTTCTAGTAATTTGTTACCTTGGCAAATTTTATAGGTCTTTTCAAAGAACCAGGTTTTGGCTTTTTGAGCTACTATATTATTTTGTTTCCTTAAAAGAGAGAGAGAGAGAGAGAGAGAGAGAGAGAGAGACAAGATCTCTTACTGTTGCCCAGGCTTGAGTGCAGTGATTTAATCACAGCTCACTGCAGCCCCGAATTCCTGGGCTCAGGTGATCCTCCTACCTTAACCTCCTGACTAGCTGGGTCTACAGGTGCGCACTACCACACTCAGCTACTTTAAAAATTTTTTTTTTTTTTTTTTTTAGTGTAGGGTCTTGCTCTGTTGCCCAGGCTGGTCTCAAATTCCTGGCTTCAAGCAACTCTTCCCACTTTGGTCTCCCAAAGCTGTTTCTTATTTTGTTAATTTTTGTTCCTTATTTCCTCTACTTTTTTTTTTTTTTTTTTTTTTTTTTTTTTTTTTTTTATAAAGACAGGGTTTTACCATGTTGGTCAGGCTGGTCTTGAACTCCTGACCTCAGGTGATCCACCCGCCTTGGCCTCCAAAGTGCTTGGATTACAGGCGTGAGCCACCACGCCCAGCCTCCTTATTTCCTCTACTTTTGTGTGATTTACTTTGTTTTTCTAATATTCTTGTTGAGATGGTTATTAAGCTTATTAAGTTCTCATTTTCTAGTATAAATAAATACTGATAAGTCACATTTTTATAATATAATTTATTTTTAAACTTTCATTGTGATTTTTTTTGCGCTCGGAGTTATATAGAAGTGTTTTTAAAAATAAATCACTGAATGGGATTTTAAATATTTTTTTTCATATTTAAAAGCTTTTGATTTGATTGCATCGTGATAAGATAATCTTGTGTATGTGAATTGATTTTTGACCTCTTTTGGTGAATTTGCATTATGGCTTTCTACATGGCCAGTTTATAAACATTCTTTCCATTGTTGAAGAATGTCAGCGCTTTAATGTTGAATGCTGTATATTTCTATGAAATCCATGTGCATAGTATTTTATGGATGACCATAATTTCTATATTTTGCTTTGATCATTTATTTGGTATTACAGACAGCGCTTATAAAAACTTTTTTATAGCCAGGTGCAGTGGCTCATGCCTGTAATCCCAACACTTTGGGAGGCTGAGGTGGGTGGATCACGAGGTCAGGGGTTGGAGACCAGCCTGTCCAACATGGTGAAACCCTGTCTCTGGTTAAAAATACAAAAATTAGCTGAGTGTGGTGGCATGCACCTGTAATCCGAGCTACTTGGGAGGCTGAGGCAGGAGAATTGCTTGAACCCAGGAGGCATTGCAGTGAGCTAAGAGTGAGCCATTGCACTCCGGCCTGGGCGACAGAGTGAGACTCCATCTCAATAAAACAAAACAAAAGAAAACAAAACTTTTTATGTCTGTCAGGGTAACCATGTGATTATATCCAGAGGAGAAATTCATTTTACTCTACTTTCAGAGTGTATGCCTTTTAAATTAGGATCAAGATTGATATAGTTTATAATCTAAATACAGTGTGTGTTTTGTGCTTGCTGCCCTGTGTCCTTGTTCTGAGTATTAGCAAACTTAAGACTATTTTCCATTTTTTAAAAATTTAATTATTTTGTTGTTTTCTTTCAGGGAATGGAAAGGATTGTTTTCCATTCAATTATTAGGTTAAAAATTGCTGTTTTTTGCTGCCTAATTCGTTAATTATGAATGAGATTTACTCACCATTTATTTTTCTTTTGGAGTGCTGTCTATTCACAGTCACAGCCAATTTTTTTAAACTGAGCTGTTTGTCATATTTTTTACTGCTATATAAAACTCCTCCTTTGCCACGTGTGGCACATTGACAAGGCTTAATTTGCAAGTACTAGATAATTTTTATTTGACTTCAAAATGTTGTTTGCTTTAGAAATGGATGATAGACCTCGAAGAGATCATTTCATGAAAAGTGGATTTGCCTCTGGGCGGAATTTTGGAAACAGAGGTAAGCATCTTTGTCTTTCCTTAATCTGCTGAGCTGTTGAATAATAGGATGTATAGAGGTTTTCATGGCCGTTTGGTACAAAACTAAGTCTGTTGTACAGTGTATATTAGACTTTGTGTTGAGATAATGAGTTCATCATTTTTCCAAGTTCAATTTTCTTTTTGCTGTTTTACCTCCTTTTTGGGACAGAGAGTAGTGTTAAGTTGTTCAGACAGATTGGTTGGATGGATAGATAGGTTGGATGGACAGAAGCTTCACATAGCTGCTGCTTTCTTTTTTTTTTTTTGAGATGGAGTCTCACTCTGTCTCCAGGCTGGAGTGCAGTGGTGTGATCTCGGCTGACTGCGACCTCTGACTCCCTGGTTCAGGTGATTCTTCTGCCTCAGCCTACCAAGTAACTGGGACTACTGGAACATACCACCATGCCCAGCTAATTTTTGTATTTTTAGTAGAGATGGGGTTTCACCATGTTGGCCAGGATGGTCTCTGTCTCTTGACCTCGTGATCTGCCTGCCTTGGCCTCCCAAAGTGCTGGGATTGCAGGTGTGAGCCACCATGCCTGGCCTAGAGCTGCTGCTTAACATGTTTATGATATTGATTTCCAACAATTGAGATGGAAGAATGTTTGTAAAAGCTTCAGGGATTAGAGATGAGAAGGACTCTTTCTTGAATTTTATATTTTTCAAGAAAAGGCAGTATAGGAAATATTTGTTAGCACATTAGTACTAATTTTTTAATAGTTTATTTTGCCATGATTGGAGTTTTAAATTTTACTTTTAGAACAACCACCTGAAATGACAGATAATGACACAGCCAAAAACCTTTCTACAGTCCATTTTTAGACTTAATATTAACATACTAGAAATATTCTGCACTATATATATCTTATTATAGTGCAATAACAGAACTTCAAGTTAAATTTATTTGAAAATTCATATGGTCATTTTTTTTCTCATAGGAGATGCTAGGGCTATTTGGTAACCATACTTGACACTTATTCTTGAATTTATGAGATGTTATTTTTTGAAACATTTATTGATATTTGCAGATATTTTTGTTATGGAAACTAAAATTTGATGCATGATGTTTTATTTGACATTTGAAAAATTTACTCATTTAAATACAATGAACACAAATTTGAGTTTTATATTTTGACATGTTTCTGCCACTAATGGAAATAATTTATTCAAATATATACTTATGTTTTGGTTTTTAAGCCTGCATATTATGTAAGATGCATTGCTTATTTGGACCATGTAATTGTGCTAAGAGATTCAAATGAAGTTTTGTTAGCTACTACTTAACATTATATTTTATTATTACATTTAGGAACATATTTAGTATTTAGATATATTTTAAAATTATATTTAGAAGAGGTTATATGATATTTTGATACAGGCTTCTAAATATTGAATAAAACCTTTTTGAATGAGAAAATCATCACTGACGCATATTTTTACCACAAATTATTTTCATGTTTTATGTTAAAATACACATAAAATTTCTGACTGAACTCTCAGTTGTTAATACTTAAAAAAATTAGCTTTATATTGTATATAACTTGGGACATTTGTAGACCCATGAGTATAACATTTTTCTTATGATTCTTCTAACATATAGTTCCAATCTGATTTTCTTTTCAGTAAAACTTGCTTAACTAAAAATGTGGGTTTTGAAGTTGACTCTTAATTGCTTAAAATATAATATTGACTAGCTGGTTATATCCTGTGAAGTATATCTAAGTAGCTTTGACTTCTTGAATCACACATCTTTGAAATCTGATGAAAACACTTTTATAGTTGGGCATACACAATTTTACATGTGGTCTTAGGAGATACCCAGACCCCTTTTAACTCCTCTCTATGAGGGTATTACAGAGATGAGTAAGACAGTTCATAGGGATCACAGGGAATGCTTTAATTTCGTTCCCAGTGATAGTTTAAAACATCATTTTATGCTGTTTTGGATGCCTCTCCTGTTATTTTTGTAATTTTTTATTTCAAATAATTGTGCTTTTTGCTATCACATCTCTGCCATAGAGATTTTTAATTTAGTGGTAGAGAAACATATGGAAAGAAATACTGCTTTTAAAAGGTACAGATAGTATGCTGTGGGAATATGGAAGAAGGATAAATTATGACTGGAGTGCTAAAGGAAGACTTCACAAAATTGGTTTTTTAAAGAATGAAATGAAGTTTGGTAAGACAAGTAGGAAAGCAGGGAATACCATGCCGAAGGAACAGCATGTACAAAGATACAGAATATTAGGAGTTGACAATGTGGAGTATTGGAGTTGTTTGTTGTGAATTAAAATGTTGAGTGTTTAGAATTATGTAGTGAGAAACAAAGCTAAGAAGGTTAGTATGGGGAAATAGTATGGCCAAATGGGGAGGCCAGGAGGGGATTAGTAGTCAGTCTTAGGTTTTTTTCCCCTATGTAGCCCCTTGTTTTAATTTTAAAAGTGGAAAGGTTATGAGAAATATAAGAAATAGGAAAATAAAAAATAGAGTTTAACAGGACATGAGTATAAAATTTTCAATAGCAATGACTCACACAGAGCAGAGTGTAATAGCTGGCTCTATCAGGGTAAGGATTCAACATATAGAAAACTATGGAGCAGAATTTTTCTGATAGAAGGTCTCCAATATAATACTGACTAGTAGAAAACTATATTTCACCAGTAGTAGATTTGTTTTTATCTTGATATCATAATTTAAGAGTTTTTTTTTTAAGTCGCAGGTATATTAATTAAGTTTCTATGCTACTCTGTTTCCATAATTGGGAGTCCCTTTACGCCAAAAATTCATTTAATTCTTAGTTTTTGATGATGACACACTTAATTTTATATGTTAAGAATTTTAACTATCTGACCTTTTTTAGATGCTGGCGAATCTAATAAAAGAGGAAATACGTCTGCAATGGGTGGTTTTGGAGCTGGAAAGAGTTTTGGAAACAGAGGTGATTACTTACGATATCTTACAATCAAAACTTGAGTTTTTTTTAATAATTGAGTTTAAATACTGATTGACAGACATTCCATATTGACATTTGATTTTAAGGTATATATTCCCTAAGTGCCTTTACACCAAAGACTATTTTATTAAAATTTATTAAAAACATTTTTAAATTTTATGAAAGATTACTGATGAATGCTTTTAAAATTAATTCTGGAGACATGTCTGTATGCTCCAGAGATGCATAACTCTTAGACATAGGTTTTTAAGAAATAAATTTGAGGACAGAGGGGAGGGACTCCGGCTGCAGCCGCGGGAGGTCCGGACACTGATGGCCATGGAACTTGCCGGTAATAGAGGACACATCTCTTAACTAGGTTGCTTTAAGAACTGATGCCTAAACTATCTCAGCATGGCCTATAGAGGAGTAGGTGGGGATGGCCATCCTGACTCAGCTACACTCTCTTGGGTTAGCCCTGGAAGTCTTTACACATGTAGAACCCGTACCCATAATATATGCATGGTATCTGACTTTTTCTACCCAAATATGGAAGGTGTCGAAAGCCACATTTACCAGCTCTCTCAGTGCCTGATTGAAAGAGGGCATAAGGTTATAATTGTCACCCATGCTTATGGAAATCAAAAAGGCATCCGTTACCTCACTAATGGCCTCAAAGTCTATTACTTGCCTCTGAAAGTCATGTACAACCAGTCTACAGCCACGACCCTCTTTCACAGTCTGCCATTGCTCAGGGACTGATTTGCTTAGTGGTGTAATACCTGAACTGTGTCAGAAATATCCAGATTTAAATTTCATAATTGGAGGAGAGGGACCAAAGAGAATCATCTTGGAAGAAGCTCGGGAAAGATACCAGCTACATGACAGGGTGCGTCTTTTGGGAGCTTTAGAACACAAGGATGTTAGAGATGTCTTAGTTCAAGGACATATTTTTCTTAATACCTCCCTTACTGAAGCGTTCTGCATGGCGATCGTGGAAGCAGCCAGATGTGGTTTACAGGTTGTAAGTACCAAGGTTGGTGGTATTCCTGAGGTGCTTCCAGAAAACCTTATTATTTTGTGTGAACCTTCAGTAAAATCTTTGTGTGAAGGACTGGAAAAAGCGATTTTCCAACTGAAGTCAGGGACATTGTCAGCTCCAGAAAATATCCATAACATAGTAAAGACTTTCTACACCTGGAGGAATGTTGCGGAAGGAACTGAAAAGGTATATGACCGGGTGTCAGTGGAAGCTGTGTTGCCAATGGACAAACGACTGGACAGACTTATCTCTCACTGCGGCCCAGTAACAGGCTACATCTTTGCATTGCTGGCTGTTTTCAACTTCCTCTTCCTCATTTTCTTGAGTTGGATGACTCCAGATTCTGTCATTGATGTTGCAGTAGATGCCACTGGGCCACGGGGTGCCTGGACTCATAAATATTCTCACAGTAAAAGAAGGGGTCGGAATAGTGAGATATCTAAAACTAGGTAGAAGAAAGCCTCGATTGTGAGATTTTAAACATTTGTAATAGCTCTATTAAGACTATGGAAAATAACCTTGGTTTTGGGGGGGTTTTGTTTTTTTAAAGTTAATTCAGTAAGTTACGCTACCTCTATATCATTCAATGTTTTCTGTTGAGGAAAGATAAAAACTTATGCAATTCCTGAGTGTAAAACTTCTTGCACTTATTTGTAATTTAGGAGACAACATTTAAGCCACTCAGGTATGAAATTTTTCAGACTACTGAAATCCCTGTAGCAGAGATGTTTAACATTATATTTTGAGAGCTTTGGGTGCTGAAGGGCCAAATGTTTTCTGGGCATTTTTTGGCCAGTTTTTAATGCTGTACCATTAGACACTCACCAGATGTTTACAAGTTTTCTTTAGGGAAGTACAACAATTATATGAACTGTTTTAAGTCATGTTCATATACATTTATTAGACATGTAAGTCATGTCTTTAAGCATTTATTGGGTTCACTCAGTAGGTGTTACATATAATTAACAGGCTCCTTGAGTAAGATAGTCCATCAGTTACCAGCACATTTTGAACACCTGCTCTGTGTAGAATGTTGAACTAGATGCTTCCTGCTGTTAAGGACCGGGGGTGTATTCACTCTTTGTTTACCATTCAGATGGCTTACTTAATCGTAGTCATGGTTGACATGAGATAGTTAAATATCTAACATGCCAAAAATGCTCATGCCAGTTAATGCCAGGAAAAAAATCACCGACACACTACTAGTACTTCTTTGATCCTGTTGTATGCATTCTCCTGGATAGAGCCTTCATCTTCAGTTGTGTTTATGAAGATATTTTTTGCTTTTTAAATACTGGGGACGAAGATCACTGTTGATAGTGCAGAGAAGCCCTCCATATTTGTCAGTGCATAATCGAGTTTTCTGTAAATGCCTTCGTGTTTTCTGAGCAGAATGTATGAGGTATGCCATCCCAAAACCAGCTGCTACCCTGTCCTTTTAATGTAAGTCACTCCCCTTCACTGTGGCCTCGCTGATGTCTGATAAGTATTGTCAGTGTGCAGAAGACTTTACTTCAGAATGTTTTATTTATAGCAAACCAAGTTGAAAATTTTAGGAACAGTCTTTGTGGGTGTATGTTATTAACTGTAATTATTGTTGCCCAGAGCCACGGGTTTTTTAACCCCAAATTATCCACATGGTGTGTATTATTAATTCTTTGAACTCTTGAGGTTTTTGTGAGAAAAGAACTGTGAATTCAAAATAATGAGGCACTTATGCGTGCACTACATAGATTCTGACAGTGTTGTGATTCTGTATAGGATTTTTTAAAATAACATTCACAAAATTTATTACTTTTTAAAAAATAACATGCCTATTAACTGGTTGCACTGATATAAAAGAAATATATTTGTGTTCTGTTTGTACTAAAACGCAAAAGCAAGAGTGCAATTTTTAAAATCTAGAAGTTAGGGATTCTTTTGTTGGAGAAAAATGGACAGATCTAAACCATTCAGTCTTACTGGGATTTTTATGCATAGAAACTCACATATAAACATGAAATAAACAGTGCCAATATTCATGGTAAAGTGAGAAACTGTAATATTTGGCACTTATTTATTCTACTCAACAGGTTTTAAAGGCATGCCATTTTTTCCTTTTTGCTTAATTTTTTTAAATTGTCATTTAATTCTTAAATTGTCATTTATTTGAGATGGAAAGAAAAGCTAAAGTTAGTTGCCTTTGCATGTAAAATATGTAATTTGCAAATGAAAATTATGTTTTTTTTTTTTTTTTTTTAACAAATGGAAGTAAATTTGTTTTATGTAAATCTTAATTTTCAACCTTCCTGGATACCTTGTCACTGTCAGTGTTGAACTGGTCAGTATGTGGAAACACATTGCTCTACCTTGCTACTTACGTTGATTTTAAAGTGAATTTACAATGATGAGAAATTTGTGAAAAATACATGGTATTTCTTTTGATGTTTCAAAAGGTTACCCATGAAAAACTGATTTGTTAAAACATGCTACATGTCCAAAAATAAAACCAGAATGACATTTTGATAAAAAAAAAATTTGAAAACAAAATTTAATGACTTTTTGAAAAAGAGTAAACAAAAAATTTCATGTTATTAAGCAGAAAATCACTCAGTATTGGATTATAATTTAGTTGTATTGTCTTTAACAGACGAAGAGATTGAGTTTGTAAAATGTTAGGAATTTTGATAGTTTGAAATAGATAGCATATAGTGGTTATACTGACATATTCCTCTATTTTGCCCATGTGCGTATAGAGGAGCATATAACAATTGAGGTAATATAGAATTGGGTGAAAAGAAAGTTGTTTTTAATCTTAAGAGAAGGGAGTCGATAAATTGACACAAAGTAGAAATTGTTGAGTGAATTTATACGTGATAACTATATATACAATTGTATATGGCTTATCATAGAGGGCATTGTATATGGCTTATCGTAGTAGTCCCTGTGTGGTGGTGATTATTTTTTTAACCACAGAGGTACAGGAAATTATTTCATTTTATATTTTGTATAGGTTTTTCAAACAGCAGGTTTGAAGATGGTGATAGCTCTGGTTTCTGGAGAGGTAAGGTCAATATTTTTGTGTTTTAAGATTTAACATCAAAAGTACATGCTAAAAAAGAGAAATTAAGAGCAAGTATTTTAGTCTGCTCTAATTCTAACTTATTTAAACCAGATTTTATGAAGCAGCTATATCCAAAGCCTTAACCAAGGATATTACTGGTTTGTACATAAAGAATTCAGGCATCCTAATTTGGCCTGTTGCCATCTGCCTTAATCTATGAGGTACAACTTTTGAATGCTCTGAAACTTAAGAAAATGTGGACAAATAGTAAAAAGAAGTAGTCACGAATTGAAACTTCGCTGTATATAAATACAGTTTGTGATGTGTTAGGGTCATATTTCAATTCAAATAAATCTAAGAAAAAGTTTCATGAGAATGTAAATCAATGCTGAAATTAAAGACATTTCCATTGAAGGTACTGACACTCTGCAGGAATATAGAGAATGATGAAAATAATGTTACCAGAAGATGGACTACCATAACAGTGCATTCCCAAATCTGATTGAGTAGATTTGGGTGAGGCTTTGAAGCCTGTATTTAAAATCATCTGTGGTGATTCTGATACCTCCTTTGGTGTAACCGTTGATGTATGAAATCTTTATAACAGAACATTTTAGGGTGCCAAAATTGGCTTCATGTCTCTGCCTGGCTACCTGCTAGTTGAAGTAGAACAAGTTAATTTTTTTAAGCCAATTTTCTATTCCACAGAATGGAAGGTATTCATTTTATAGGTGGTTAGGCAGACTGAGAATGCATGTAAAAGCATATAGCTCAATACCAGATACATTCATGATAAACACTCAAATGCCATCTATCTTTCTTCATTAAATATTTGAAGCTTGATCTTTTTATACACTTTGATTCCCAAAGTCAAGATCAAGCCTAGACCTGATCACCTTAAAACTCTTTTGATATAAGGTGGGATTTTAATTATCAAACGAGATTGTTTCTCCATACTACCCCCAGTCTCTCTCCTTGCTTCTCTTCTTTTTCTCCTAATTCAAATGAAAACATATGTGACATAGAAATAGTATTTGTGAGAGGAGAAAAATACCATCAGTTTTACTCTTTTCCATTTCTATTTGTTTCTATTCTGATCTCTCAACTTTTAACTCATTTAATATTCAAGATTATTTCTACTTATACAAAGACCTTTCTACCCACTTGACTCCTTTCTAGAGATGGTGGACCAGAGAGCTTTTGAATACAAATTCTCACAACATTTGAGAGAACTTCTCTCCAAAGTGACCTGCTTGCTTTGTTTTGGTCTACTTTCTTCTTTTTTCGTTCTTAGTTCCCCTAAAATAAAAATTAAAAAAAAAAAAAGATATTTGGATTGAATTCTTTCATTCTTTCAAATTGCTAATAAGCCCAGGTTCTGAGCTCATAGTAGAAGCTTTTTACTCTGCACACAAATGAGTAGAGTGTTTTTAAGTTTTTTCTCCTGTAATCTGTTTTCCTTAAGCTGGTATATTGTAGTGAGAAGTAACTCAGATATTGGATTTGAACACCCTAGGTGTGAAACTTAGATCCTCCTCCTTAATTATTTTGAAAAAGCATGTAACTTGCTGTTTTTCATTTTTCCTACTTATAAAATGATTATTATATCAACTTCACAAGGTTTTTGTGAAAATTTAAAAAGTTAATACATGTGATACAATTAAAACAGTGCCAGGCACATACTTACTTTATGTGTTGTTATTTTTATATCATTAATAGATTGTAACTGATCTTGGGATCATTATCTCATTTTTGTTTGCTTAGGTTTATTTCCTAACTCTTAGAGATCACTTCTTTTTTAAAATTTTTTTTTATTTTGACATAGTTTGATTTATAAGAAGTTGCAAAAATAGTACAGAGGTTTTTCATGCACCCATCACCCAACTTCTCTTAATGTTTTCTATGTCTATTCCCAACGTGATCAAAATAACTATAGGTTTATTTTAGGGAAATAATTGGCCAAAGATACTGTGAGACTCTTCCTTGCCGGGTTCTAGATTAATAATTTTTTTTCTCTAAGGCAGTAAATATTAGTGATCATCATCATTACTCTAGGGCCAACTTTTGTAAAATTCTTTCTTTCCTGCCCTTCTCCACTGTATTAAGTCCTACTTTCCAGAAAGTTATCTTGTTAATGGCTCTTCAGTATTGTTTGCCAGTTGTCAGCTACAGCTCAAATAGAAGCTTGCAACAAGAGCTTTGGGTCACTGTTTATTGTAGGACAATATTAGTTGTTAAATGGATTGGGACTTTTACACAGGAACTTAGCTAATAGCCTGCAAGCTGTTTAGTGACTTGCTCTCATTATTATGACTTAATGTTCCCAGATATTAAATATTAGTGACATGTACAAAGCTTCCTTGAAACCATCTTTGTATTTCCCAAATGTGACTTTTTTGGAATCTTCTGGAAAGCTTGATGTTATAGTAATAACATAGAACTTTTAAATTGTGAAAAATTATTCCTTTTAGAATAAACATTTCTGGGAATGGGGCCTAGGAATGAATGAATGAATGAATGAATGTCACCCAGGCTGGAGTGCAGTGGCATGATCTCAGCTCACTGCAACCTTCACCTCCCGGGGTCAAGCGATTCTCCTGCCCCAGCCTCCTGAGTAGCTAGTATTACAGGAGCATGCCACCACACCTGGCTAATTTTTGTATTTTTCGTAGAGACAGGGTTTCACCATGTTGGTCAGGCTGGTCTCGAACTCCTGACTTCATCATCTGCCCACCTCTACCTCCCAAAGTGCTGGGGTTACAGGTGTGAGCTGCTGCAGCCAGCCTAAATTTATTTTTAGCCAACTCTCCAGGTAGTTTTCAGGCAGCCTTCAGTATAGTAATCACTCATACCACTATTTTAAAACTCTGGGAATGTTACATACTAATATCATTAAAAATGGAGAAGCTAGGATATCCTCAGATTATTTCATTATGATGAATGAGGGAAAGTTTGCATATATTTAAGAAGGCACAAATGTCTCAAGTTTATTAAGAACAGTAAATTGGCCAGGTGTGGTGGTTCATGCCTGTAATCCAAGCACTTTGGGAGGCCAGGATAGGCAGATCACATGAGACCAGGAGTTCAGGACCAGCCTGGCCATCATGGCAAAAGCACATCTCTACTAAAAATACAAAAATTTGTCTGGCATGGTGGCGGGTGCCTGTAATCCCAGCTACTCAGGAGGCTAAGGTGGGAGAATTGCTTAAACCCAGGAGGCAGAGGTTGCAGTGAGCCGAGATCACACCAGTGCACTCTAGGCTGCGCAGCAGAGCAGACTACATCTCTGGAGTCAAAAAAAAAAAAAAAAAAAATTAAATTACACAAAATATATGACATTATAAATAGAACAGTCTAGTGGTCTGTGGACCATATTTGAGAACCACTTGATTACTTGATAGTTCAGCTATTCCTGAAATCATTTTTGGTCAAACTGAAATTTTTAATTTTTTTTGATGTTTTTTGCGTAGTATAATGCTTGGCAAATAGTAGGTTCTCAATTTAATATAATAAACATTTAATGTCTAGATACATGAGATGATTTGTATAGGGAATTGACTCTGAGTAACGTCTTTATATATCTGTTGTTAAAGTTATTTGAAGAAATAAAATGTTTACATTTTAACTTATGAAAATATTTTATTTTCTTACTAATTTACCTTGTGACAGTGCTATTCTTTATATATGGCATCAAGTTAATTATTTAAATGCTATTTACATGTTAAATTTTTATTTAAGAATCTAGTAATGACTGTGAAGACAATCAAACACGGAACAGAGGGTTTTCCAAGAGAGGCGGTAAGGACCACATTTTGGAACAATTTGTATTTAAGACAGAGATACTAAACTGATAAAACTGATTTTGAAAGAGCTGGATGAAAAATTCTGATGGCAAAAACCTTTGAAGAAAAATACTTTGGTATATGTTTTCTGCTTTTAACATTTGAGTGAATATTCAGTAGGTGCCCCTCCTTTCACTTTTTTTTTTTAAACTTTTAGGTTCAGCGGTACATGTGTAGGTTTGTTATCTAGGTAAATCGCATGTCATGGGGTTTTGGTGTACACATTATTTCATTACCCAGATAATAAGCGTAGTACCTGATAGGTAGTTTTTTAACCCTGTACCTCCTCCCACTTTCCACCCTAAAGTAAGTCCCAGTGTTTGTTGTTCCCTTCTTTGTGTCCATGTGTTCCCAATGTTTAGCTGCAACTTATAAGTGAGAACATTCGGTATTTGGCTTTCTGTTTCTGTGTTAGTTTGCTTAGAATAATGGAGCCCCGTTTAAGTTCCTGCAAAGGACAGTGTGTCATTCTTTTTTATGGCTGCATAACATTCCATGGTGCATGTGTTCCATACTTCCTTTGTCCAGTCTACTGTTGGTGGGCATTTAGGTTGATTCTGTCTTTGCTGTTGTGAATAGTGCTGTGATGAACATACATGTACATATGTCTTAATGGTAGAATCATTTATATTCCTTTGGGTATATACCCAATATTGGGATTGCTGGATGGAATGGTAGTTCTGTTTTAGTTCTTTGAGAAATCGCCACACTGCTTTCCATAATGGCTGAACTAATTTGCACTCCCACTAGCAGTGTACTGTATAGGCATTCCCTTTTCTCTGCAACCTCGTCAGCATCTGTTATTTTTCGATTTTTTAATAACCATTCTGACTGGTGTAAGATGATATCTCGTTGTGGTTTTGGTTTACATTTCTCTAATGGTTAGTGATGTTGAGCACTTTTTCATCTGCCTGTTGGCTGTATGTTGTCTTTTGAAATGTGTCCATGTCCGTTGCCCACTTTTGATGGAGTTGTTTTTCTGCTTTTACATTTAATTTCCTTATAGATCCTAGATACTTGACCTTTGTTGGATGCATACTTCGCAAATATTTTCTCCCATTCTATAGGTTGTCTGTTTACTCTGTTGATAGTTTCTTTTGTTGTGCAGGAGTTTGTTCATTTAATTAGGTCCCATTTGTCAATTTTTATTTCTGTTGTGGTGGCTTTTGGCATCTTCGTCGCAGAACCTTTGCAAGGGTCTTTTGTCTAGAATGGTATTTCTTAGGTTATCTCCAGGGTTTTTATAGTTTTAGGTTTTACATGTTATTCTTTAATCCATCTGGAATTGATTTTTGTATACAATCTAAGGAAGGGGTCCAGTTACAGTCTTCTGCATGTGGCTAGCCAGTTATCCCAGCACCATTTATTGAATAAGGAATCCTTTCCTCATGGCTTCTTGTTGTCAACCCTGTCAAAATCAGATGGTTGTAGGTATGTGGTATTCCCGTTTGCAGATGGTATGATTTTATACTTGGAAAACCCTATGTAGTCTCTGCCCCAAAGCTCCTTAATCTGATAAATTATTTCAGCAGAATTTCAGAATACAAAATCAATGTATGAAAATCAGTAGCATTCCTATCCACCGTAGTGTTAAAATGGCCATACTGCTCAAAGCAAGTCACAGATTCAATCAAACTACCAATGACATTCTTTACAGAATGAGAAGAAAAGATTTTAAAATTCATATGGAACCAAAAAAGAGCATGAATAGCCAAGGCAATTCCAAGCACAAAGAACAAAGCTGGAAAGCATCACATTACCTGAGTTCAAACTATACTACAAGGCAGTGGTAACCAAAACAGCATGGTACTGGTCCAAAATCAGATACCTACACCTGTAGAACAGAATAGAGAGCCCAAAAATAATGCCTTCTTTTACTTTTTTTTTTGAAGTTGGAGTCTCACTCTGTCACCCAGGCTGGAGTGCAGTGGTATGATCTTGGCTCACTGCAACCTCCACCTCCTGAGTTCAAGTGATTCTTGTGCCTTCACCCCCCCAATAGCTGGGACTACAGGCATGTACAAGCATGCCTGGCTAAGTTTTGTATTTTTAGTAGAGACAGGGTTTCACTATATTGGCTGGGCTGGTCTTGAACTCCTGACTTCAGGTAAGCTGCCCACCTCGACCTCCCAAAGTGCTGGGATTACAGGTATGAGCCACTGTGCCTGGGCTTGTTTTACTTTCTAATGGATCTTTCTTTTTTTTTTTTTTTCCCCCCTCGCATTCAGGTCATGAAATACAAATTGCTAGCACCACAGAATCCCCTTTTCATGTTCATTTGTTATTCACTAATGACCCATTACCCCCAAACCTCTGTTATGACTTCTGACAGCATACAATAATTTAGTGTATTTTTATACTTGATATAAATGGAATCATATTGTATGTACTGTTTTATGTTTACCTTCTTTGTGTGTTTAGTATTCTTTTGTTTTACTGTTGTTTCAATAAAAGTAGGTATTTGAATTACCTCCAGTGTGGGGCTATTATGAAGGTGCTTCTGTAAACATTCTAGTATTCTTTTGGATGTCATTAGTACATACTCAGAAGAAGAATTGCTAGGTTATAGGTAATGTGTATTTTTGGCTTTAATAGTATTGTCAAATGTTTTCAGCATTTATACTAAGATACACTTTCACATTCTGACCAATGCTTGATATTTTTTCTTTTTCTCTCATTTTAACCATTCTGCTGGTTGTCTGGTGGTGTACTCATTATGTATTAAATTTCTATATTTTGGACTGATGAAATGCGGAGCACTTCTTATGATTATTGGCCATTTGGACAACATCTTGCATCAAGTCATTTGCCTGTGTCTTTGATATCTATTGGGTATCTTAAGTTGCAAGAATAGTGCAGATAGGCTGGGCATGGTGGCTCACATCTGTAATCCCAGCACTTCGGGAGGCCGAGGTGGGCAGATCACTTGAGGTCAGGAATTCAAGACCAGCCTGGCCAACATGATGAAACCCCATCTCTACTAAAAAAAAAAAAAAAAACAAAAATTAGGCCAGGCACAGTCGCTCATGCCTGTAATTCCAGCACTTTGGGAGACTGAGGCAGGCAGATCACGAGATCAGGAGTTTGAGCCCAGCCAGGCCAATATGGTGAAACCCCATCTCTACTAAAAAAACAAAAATTAGCCAGGTGTAGTCCCAGCTGCTCGGGAGGCTGAGGCAGAAGAATTGCCTGAATCTGGGAGGCAGAGGTTGCAGTGAGCTGAGATCGCGCTGCTGCACTCCAGCGTGGGTGACAGGGCGAGACTTCATCTAAAAAAAGAAAAACTAATTGTAATCAATCTGGAGTTTATTTTTGTATATAACATAGGACTCAAGATACTTTTTTTTCCATATGGATGTTCATTTGACCTAGTGTCACTTATCGAAAAGACTGTCTCTTCCACTCTGCACTACAGGGTTGCCCTTGCCCTAAATTAGGTGGCTTATATATGTATATCTGTTTCTCTTGATTTTATTACATTGGTCATTTTTTTTCTATTTTTGTACTATTGTCCCACAATCTAATTATTGTAATTTTATAATAGGTCCTGATATATGGCATTGCTTGTTTTTCAAGTGCTATGGTTTGGGTATTTGTCCTTCTCATGTTGAAATTTGATTCCTAGATTTGGAGGTAGGGTCTAATGGGAGGTGTTTGGGTCATGGGGGCTCATATCCCTCATGAATAGACCTATATTCTCCTTGCGGGGGTGTTGAGTGAGTTCCCTGTTAGTTCCCTTGCGAGCTAGTTGTTAAAAAGAGCCTGGTGCCCCCTACTTCCTCTACATCATATGATCCTGCACACATCAGCTCCCCTTCACCTTCAGCCATGGGTGGAAGCAGCCTGAGGCTCTTACTGGATGCCCAATCTTGAACGTTTTCAGTTATCAAATCATGAGCCAAATAAACCTTTTTTTTTTTTCCATAAATTTCCCAGTCTCAGGTATTCCTTTATAGCAACGCAAAACAAATGACAATCTCAAGATTGCCTGTTATTTTTAGTCCTTTGCATTCCTGTGTGATTTTTAGAATCAGCTTAATCAATTTCCAGAAGGAAAAACTATTTTAATTTGGGTTACTGTAACAAAATGCTATAAACTAGGTAGCTCGTAAACAACAGAAATTTATTTCTCACAGTTCTAGAGAGTCTGAAGTCCGAGAGCAAGGTACCAGCAGATTCAGTGTCTGGTGAGGACCCATTTCCTGGTTCATAGATGGTGTCTTCTCTCTCTGTCCTCACATGGTAGATAGGGCAGTGCGGCTCTCTGGAGCTTCTTTTATAAGAACACCAATTCCATTCATGAAGGCTCTGCCGTTGTATGGTTGCATCATATTCGTTGATTCTTCAGCTGATTAACGTTTTGAGTTGTTGTCACTTTTGTGTTATCATGGCTAATGCTGCTATATTCATTTAAGTTTTTGTGTGAACCTATGTTTTCATTTTTCTGGGGTATACATAGGAGTGGAATTGCTGTGTCATATGCTAATTCTTAATGTTTAACGTTTTGAGGAACTACCAAATTGTATTCTGTAGCAGCTGCACCATTTTATATTCCCACCCTCAGTGTTATGAGTGTTCTGATTTCTCCACATCCACCAATACTAGTCGTTACTGTGTTTTTTTTTTTTTTTTTTTTTAAATGAATGTGAAGTCTCTCGTGGGGTTTTTTGTTTTGTTTTGTTTTTTGTTTTTTGTTTTTTTGAGACAGGGTCTCATTCTGTCATGCAGGCTGGAGGGCAGTGGCACAATCTTGGCTCACTGCAACCTCAACCTCCTAGGCTCAAATAATCCTTCCACCTCAGCCCCCTGTCTAGCTGGGACTACAGATGTGAACTACCATATCTGGCTAATTTTTGTATTTTTTTGTAGAGATGGGGTTCCACCATATTGCCGGGGCTGATCTTTAACTCCTAAGCTCACGCAGTCTGCCTGCCTCAGCCTCCCAAAGTGCTGGGA